TGCAGTAGACATTGTCATATTATTCTATGTGAACGTTAGCTAAAAAAAAATGCTAAAAGCTAAAGTTTTTGAGAAAAAAATTGCTCAATTTGTGACAATTTTGTGAGCCACCAAATTTATTTCTTCCTGATGTGATGTCAAATACAGAAGAAGAAAGAAAGAACATACTAAAAGGGTAATATAAACACATTGATGTTACATCTTTATTATAATTTCATCAAGAGATTGTGATTACAAAGATAATATTCAACAAATTATAATTATTTCAATGGTTAGATTGCCTCTACACAATTATTAAAACTGATAAGCTTCAAAATCATGAGATCACGTTGATGCTTTTCATGATCTTATAATACAATCAAAATTCTATTCCTCTCCATGAGGTATTGAATGATCAAAGAGAATCACTTCACGTGTTGAGTTCATTTTTACAACATATCAAAGATTAATCATTTGTGTAATCATTATGATAAAAAGACCATCAATTATAACAAGAGGATGAGTGCTCCTCTGCATTGATAAAAGAAAGATATGCAATATGAAAAGGTTATTTCAAAGCCATACTCTAGACTTTTTTTGAAGTAAAGCTGCAATTAGCTCAAACATGAATTGATGAATAATAGATCAAGTATGCATTAATGAACTAGAGAGAAAGAGCTGCAAATGGAGGGAACATTGCGAATATTTTTTAATTCCAAGCAGAACGTTGTCAAAGTGAAGCAAATTATGCTATGAAACTTGCAGTGAATACCAAGACTCTACGGCTATGAATTGTGGCAAAAATGCTTTATTATTATCTCACATTGAGAAGCATGAGAAGAAAATTCAACATCAAGCCATTAACTTGGGGGCTGAAGATGTACAGTACTACTGCTGGGTCATATGTGTTTGATAATTTTCTATTTTTATGAAATTTTTTCTTATCAATGCAGTAGCGTTTTTTCTTCAGGTTTTTCAAATTGATTTTGTAAATAAAATTTAAATTCCGTTTTTTTTCAAAATAAATTTGGTTCTATATATTTAGCATCCGATTTTAGAATTAAAGGCTGTTCAGAAACATCTACATAAAGAGAATGACACTAATGGAGCTTAACTTTTTGTTAAGTATTAAAAAAACCGAGTGATATGAGGGTATTCAGATAAAACAAACACGCTGAAAAACCGGGCATGACAATTGTTTCAAGGAGGACGAATAGCTAGGTGTAAGATATCCACTCTTGATCTTATCGCTATAGCCGTGAAGCAATTCATAACACCGTGCATCTATTCTCCATCTTGCTTGGTACATACGAGCGAGCAGATAAACTCCACTCGATGGATGTAATCTAATACTTTTTTTGTTTGAATTAGAATGAAATAACTACTATATAAATGGATAAGAGTTTGAAGAAGTATATATCGAAACTTTTATTACCCAAAGGAGGGAGAAAAAGGGCTTTATTTTCTCGCCCTCTGTAGGGAGGAAATCAACCTGTGGAAGCTTCACAACATCCAACGAGGCGATTCTCTGGGCTATTACGTTTGACCCTTTGTCCAGTCGGCCCTGCCTACCTTTTGACAAGTTGGTTGCTCATTCCCGTCCCTCGGAGACGTAGTAACTTATCCACGTGGAATAGATATACTGACCTGATTTGTAGAGATAAGATGTACTCTGTCTATCAAACTTTGAAAGTACACACACAACAAAGAGCAGGCTACAGTGGTTGTGTTGGCTGGCACAAAAAAAAGAAACTAATGTGGTATATTGCGATCATCTAAGTAAGGCAAGCACGTATACACTCCGTTAATCATTGCTCGAAGAAAATGATATACATGTATACATGGATATTCTGTACGCGTGTGGACGATTGTGCAGTGCAGAGAACTCAAAGTTATTATTGACCAATTCTACCGGTTTGCCTACTCTGTAATGTGGTGATGAAAGTGAATCTAGGCTTTATACCCTAGCTCATGTAGGCATGGTGATGAAGATGGTAACACCATGTACAGTACTGGACACGGAGAGACGGTCGACACAACAATGACAACGGTACATCGTATTAATGCCAGCCTCCTCGTATGTATAGAGTGGTTGGTATACACATTATAGATGTCATTCCATGCTCGTCGCACAGATATTTTTCCTCCACTTCTTTTGCCTTTGAAAATCTATCTATCGTCCATCCAGCTGCGGTCCCAGAGCTAGCATGCATTCGAATTAGAGACACTTATTTAAAGTATAGCTATGCCTAAAGTAGCCATAGGAGAAAAAATGTGAAACTCGAAACCACGCTTTTACTTCCCTACTTCCACATATAATTTGTGCATCAAGTGTTAAGGAGGATGTGAAGTTAGGTGACCTGTATACGTTATTTCTATACGTATATGGTCAATAATCACTTCAGGTGTACTCACATGCGTTATGATGCACATAGGGTGATAACAACTACTTGTGCTAAAGATCGGGTATACTCGCTGTTCAATCATCTACGCTTCCGAGCCTATCTTGATTTGGTTGAAAAGTAATGTTGAAAAACTCTCGGTGGCGTGCATGCTACATGGAATAACCCTACCAACGCAATCACACAAATTTTGACAGGACCTGATGTGAGCCATAAACATAAAGTTCTCTTCCAATCTCATCTAATCTTATACATATTAAAATATAAACGAAGATAGCTTTGCTGGTAAATCGTAATACTATCCTTGGATCAGAATGTCAGTGTCCAATCTTAGAGAAGGGATCCGCAGTGAGCGACTACTTTTGAGTATCAATAAAATATGAACTCAAAAAGGTCTGTTCACGAGTTCACTTCTATTGGTACATTGCAAACGCAAATAGGCCAATCTGGAATATTCATTTCCACATATGTGATGTGCTCAAAGGCAAATATCCACAGATTGCTAGACTCTGCAAATAATCTTCTTATCCTGAGTACCATGGATCAACAATAGGCCCACCAAGGAAAGTCCTTATCAAGAAAGCGATTTCCACTGAGAGAAACGAAAGAACGCCGGAACGCTTCGCAGCTCTAGTTTTGCGTGGATCCGAATGTTGTCATTCACACAATATTCGGATGGGGGAGCTGAGGGATTATACAATGTATTTTCTAGTCCGGGCTAATATGGTGGAAGTTTGATGTATGTTTTTTTTAAGCGAAAAAGGCAGCTCTCTGCTAAAAACGGGGCGAGAAACAAAAATGCGTTCTTCAGTTGACTGATTTCGAGAGCTTCCGAGCGTAGGGCACGGTGAAAAGCATCGAGAACCAGGCGGATAGAACTTGAGTCCGCGAAAGAGATGCGCTATGTTGCTCGCCGGATCACTTTACGGAAAACGCTGACAGTAAAAACAACTGGCAGCAGTAGAAACAGGGAAAAAATCTACTACCCATCACCAGGCCTGCGAGCTGCAGTGTTCAATGCTAGGTCCCTCTCATCCCATCCCATCGCATCCCATCCACTTTATTTAACGCATAGGATCAGGCAGGTAGTCCTTTGCCCTTTCCATGCATTTCTCATGGTATGGACGAGGAACTCAAGCCTGTGAGAAATCAATTGGAAGGCATGTTACCGTGACCGAGGGTTACTGTCACCGGCAGGGTCGGGGCGAGCCCCGTCGTCGTTGTTTGATCTCGACTCACCGTTCGTCCATCATCTCTTTGTCCCCGCCGGTCTCGTCTCGCCGCGACCGCACGCATGCAGCCTCGGGAGCCGATGCACAGCGGAAAAGTAAGGGTGGGCCAGACGGGGCTCAGAAAAATAGCCGACGGTCCTTTTCAATCCTACCCTCTAGAAGCTACCGGGTTGAACCACATGCGCCAATGACATTGCGCTCTATTTATGTAATCGGTGTTCAATTCGTCCCTTTTTATCGGCAGTAATGAAAGTTTACCGGTACGGCACGTGGAAATTTCTAATTTTACCTCGCCATGGCTCGGGAGTCGGGACATAAGTCCGCCGGTGCTGGTCTGCCCGAAATGGCTTATCCTGCTAAACTTGAACGGATGTGGAAGTCGCTAAGTGGAGAGCGATTCTGGTCGACGTCGGCGATCTCAGGCTGAACTGGGTACCACCAGGCCTCAGAAAGCTATTTATGAAGGGCAACCTTTCTGTGGCTCGTAGGGGTCACCGCTATATTAAGATAGACTTCTTCAGAGTACTCCAAGCACGAACTTACTGCCTGGCGGAGGTAATAACAGCACGTTATTCTAGCGGCTCCTCCACCAAATCCTTCATTTTCGGGCGGGCGACTGGAGCGCAACAGCCACTGTGTATGAGCATATGGGAGCGTGGAGAGCTGTTTAGAATTACAAACCCCGACTTTTACATGGTCGTAAATCAGCACACTCGAGCTTATCATTTCAGACCGTATGTGCTACTGACCAAATCCAAAAGGGCCCTGCGCCGTTGTTAGAAGACCATTTCACGTATTCCATGGGACGCAGTATATATTTCAGACGGCGATGCTACTGGAGTCGACCTTCATTTCACCGTTCGGGTTCATCCTCGCACTGCGGATGCGGTCTTCATTATTATTTATTTTTATCTCAGTGTGTCACCTCTTACTATTTTCGGCTGAAATTCGAACGGGATAAGTTTTCAGGTGCCGGGCTTGGAAAGAGAAGGAGAGAGACTTCCCGGGGTAGAAGCGACAGAGAACGCGGAGGATCGATAGTTGGTAACTGGTGGTGAAATCGGCCGAAAGGGGAGGAGAGTGAGGGTGCATGGGTACGCAGTACCGGGAACACTCCCTTATCTCCCCTCCCTTTCCTCGCCTCTTCTCCTCATGTTTCTCGCCATGGTCGCAGCTGAGAGGTCCTTGTCTGCGGTCAACAGCAGCATGGAGGAAAAGACGGAATTAAGAAGATTAATGTAATTTGAGTTAGTTTTGCCAGCTGACTCGGCCAAGAGGGAATCTATGAGAAAAGAAGCAGAGGACGGATGGCGAGCTGAGCTGAGCTGAGCTGAGTAGTCAGGAACTTTAAGAAACCTCAAGAGCGTGCAAGTCGGCTGATGTGGATGGCTTTTTTCTCCACCAGAAGTAAGTGATCCATTTCGTACCTGCGCGCACCTACGGCCCACGGCTGCGCCTGCTCTGTTCGACATCTTCGCGTCGAACGAGTGTCATTCAAGGGATGCTCTTCACACCGCTGTACGGGAGGGAGCTGCTCTTCCGATGAGTAAGAAGTTGCCGTAGCTCAAATCCCACGAGACACGTCGTGTTAGCATTTTATTGTGCAGGCGCCGAGGTAGAGGAGCTCTTGCACAGACGAACTTACTCATCTCCACCCGTCCGAAAGCTGGTTTCTGTGGGTGCAGCGCCGTGGCAACCACACTCGCCTGCCAATGCGCAGAGTTCAAGTGGTGTAGCTAAGACAACAGTGGAGGCCTGCCTTCAAAAGTGCGGTCAACGCAGGGATTTACGAGTTGGACTTATTGGTGCCTCATCGTCTGAAAGAATCACTGAAGTGTAGAGTTCAGAACTTAGTGCAGGATTTGTGCTCGCAGCGTGCTTCCTCACTCCCCTGGAAGCAATTGGTGGGCATTTGCACTTCTGCCAACGGCTCGACGTCAGCTCACTTTAAGGTCTTCTTGGACCGAAGTTGAGAGGTCAAAAATATCGAGTGGTTCAAGGCTCTCTCATCTCAGCAGAGCACATTCTACGAAGATGCAACGCAATGCCACAGAGTGAATTGATCGCTCCCATTCAGACATGGCGTACGAAGGATTAATGGGAAGAGAAGACAGGGGTGTTCAAAATGTGTGGTAGTAGTGTAGTTTGAATGCAGGTTTGGGTAGAAGGCAGCCGTGGGGGCTGGGCCTGGGGCCAATCTGGAGGAAGCAAAGTATGTTTGCGTTCAAGGAGAAATTCCCCGACTGGAAGGATTTCCCTAATGGATTGCGGGTTCTTGTTGTCGACGAAGACACCAAAGTGCTCAATGAGATTAAGTGCAAGTTGGAAGGTTGTCAGTATGTCGGTGAGTCCTCCTGTCTGATTCATCGGATACAGTGACCATGGCCTTGTTCAGCTTGTGGCAAGTTGAGGTCGGTAGTTCCTAAAGCGAACCAAAATTGGGAGGTGGAGTAGTCAGTGGTAGAACGCGAAGGTTACTGCAGAAAAAGCTTGACCGGAGGTTAGGATGAGACGGAGTGTAGGACTCAGAGATTCTCATAGGAACCTCATTTGCATGGCAAGGGTTCAGGGGATGCAAAGAAATTAGTAGAACTATCTGAAGTTAATCGAAGATGTACAGTTCCTTTCTGATATGAGATGAAAGGACGATGAACTACAGGCCGTTGCAGGTTTCAGTCGTCATCGTTATAAGTGTATAGGTCTCTACGTTGCAAAATTTGTTCAATGGATCTTTTGAATAGGGCCACTACCTTTCTTATCAGTTACGATCGTAGGGATCTCGTTGGTCTGGGCTTGCCCAAATGCATGCCAGAGAACAAGCGCGGAGTACTGTTATGGATGTGTACTTACGGACTGTATATGCTGAATGCACAGTCTCGGCTTTCACTAAAGGAGAAGATGCCCTTGAAGCATTGCGAGATCAGCAGAACATTTTTCACGTGGCGCTGGTGGAGGTGAAAACCTTGACATGCAAATGCCATTTGATTCTAGGTTGCACATTTCATCCAATTTACTCTCGCTTTCAATCCATTCAGTTTCCAAGTTTTTTGGAACCTGCGTCGTGATTGTAGTAATTTGACTGCAGGCAATGACGGGCGAGGGCTTCAAGATACTGGAAGTTGCAAGACATTTGCCTACAATATGTAAGCAGCACACTCAATCTAGTGCCGAGTTTACTTTGCATTGAACGAGATGGTGTTTTCTACAAGTCACGTTCTAACAGCATCATATTGCATGTCGCAGTGATGTCCAATACGGAAAACATGGCCATCATGATGCAGGGAATTGCGGTACATCTCGATTCATGTTCTGCGCCGTTTCGTTGAATTTTCAGAACTTTGAGGTGATAAACCTGTGCAGTCTGTTTTTAAAGCTGAAGCTTCGGTTATTCTGATGGTGGCTCTACGTGTCGCAGCTTGGTGCAGCGGATTTTCTTCAAAAGCCACTGTCTGATGAGAAGCTTCGGAACATTTGGCAGCATGTTGTTCGAAAGGTAAGCATCGTCACTGTTGCAGGAAGGAGCTTTTCTTAAATGTAAACCTTTCGAAGCTTGAGTAGTTGGTTGAGTAGTAAATTTTGGTGTTATTGCAGTTGTGAGTCCACAGTTTTGCTAGGATTGTCTGGTGTACTTTAAGCTTGTTCATATGACGTTATTTTCTTATCTGATGATAGTACTTTCGAGTTTTGCAGGCTCTCAACACAGGTGATCCTCTTCTGATGGAGTCCCTCGTACCTGTTAAAGCAGCTGTGGAATCCGTGTTTTCGCTTTCTCCCTCCCCAGGTCGAGTCAAAGCTGAGCCTGTTTCAAGTCCAGGTTCTGATGGGGAGTCGAAGTCGAAGGATATGGAGTGGGTTGCTGGGGTGACGAAATCTCCTTCAAGCGGAGATGCAGCAGTTTGTGAGAGACTTCCTGCACCTTCAACACCACAGTTGGAGCAAACAGGGAGGATGAACTCGCAAGAAGATTCAGTGTCAGAGTCACCTGGGTCTGATAGCTTTGTGCAAGTGAAGACCGAGGGTGAGGATCCGGAACCAGATGCTGCCGCAGGAAAGCCAGCACCTTGCACAGAAGTGAAAGTTGAGGATCATGTGGAGGCTGTTTCTGAATCTTCTCAATTAGACATCAAGCTTGAAGATTATCCTACTGTCATCAAGCTAGAATTAGATGATAATATAGATGATATCGGTCTCAGCAATGGCATTGTGGTAGATGGTGATGGTGGGTCTGGATTAGACATCAATCCTTGCCTCCTAGTACCTCTCCCCGAGTCCGCTCTGGATATGCACATGAATATTGAGGCTTTGGATGCCGGAGAAGTTCACGACACTGAGATTGGGGAAGAGGAGGCCCTTTTGCTTGCAGAAGTCGCGAAGGCTGGAGCCGAAGGCCTCGAACGAACCCCTTCTATGAATTGCCTTAGCGTTGACAGTGGAGATTGCAGCAGTGGAGAAAAGAAGGGTGAGGGTTGCAAAGTAAATAACAAGGCTACGTCAGGAAGAAGGAAAATGAAGGTACAGAAAGACTGCAACATTTTTTTTGGCTTTTGTTGAGGTTCATGATCACATGAACTTACTGTATGAGGTGACGCAGGGGTCTGTAATAATAATATGCTAACCCCCATCATTTCATTCTGTTATAAACAGGTTGACTGGACCCCTGAGCTGCATCGGCGGTTTGTCCAGGCAGTCGAACAACTCGGAGTTGAGAAGGCTATTCCATCTCGCATTTTAGAGCTCATGGGAGTACAGTGTCTAACTCGTCACAATATTGCCAGCCATCTGCAGGTCAGTGTGACTCGTGTCGGTAGTGTAGAAGTGCTGCCTATTTTTGACATTGTCAAAATCGACATCGTGACGTTGCATCGGTCTGAGTAGCCTCCGGAATCCCGGAAATTTTCGAAATTGCGATATGGTTCTGAGTTTTAGCTTTGGGATCAATGGTTTCTCACCTTGGCCAATCATGCACTCAGAAATATCGATCTCATCGAAGGCATCTTTTGGCGAGAGAAGCTGAAGCCGCGACTTGGCATCATCGCAAACCAATTGATCCAAATGTCTGGGCTAGGAGTAGACGGGATGGTACTGCGTGGCTGGCCCCTCATCATACGAACCCTCCACCAATTCAGCCTCGCCCACCAATGGGTCTCACGCCTATACAGCCGCATCCAGGTGCTCACTGTCACCCCATGGGACCGCCGATGCATGTTTGGGGTCATCCTACGATGGATCACACCGCTGCGCACATGTGGCAGCAGCCACAAATGGCCACACCAACAACATGGCAAGCACCTGATGGATCGTATTGGCAGCATCCGGTATGATTCATCCCCGTATATTCTGGCGTCCGAACTTGACGTTCTTGACACATCCAGCCCAAAGTGAACATTGTGTTATAGTAGAATTACGTCCGGAAGATAGCCACTTCCGATTTGGGGCATGCTCTGACTTTTTTATTTCAATTTGTGCAGTGTATTGATGCTTGGGGTCATCCAACACCTGGTCCGGGAACTCCGTGCTATCCACAGCCATACGTACGTTGGGCTCATGACATTAACCTTTTGCTGGACTGACGCTCCGAGGATTATACTGTGTTGCGTGTGCTGAAATTATGGTTATTGGTGTACCGAGATAGGGCTAGCTAATGTTAAATATCGGTCGTTATGTTAATTGCTATGATGCAGAGAGTTCCAATGGCTCCTATGCCGGCGTTCGCGTCACCCATGACAACTGCTGCCCTTGCAGCCGACAGCTATTTCGCTGATGAGTCGATGCCTATACCCATGTACCCCACTGCACCCGATGACCCGGAATTGACTGTCGCGGCTGGCGCTGCGGCCAGCAGCAAGCCTTCAGACTTCCACCCGGTAAGCTTGATCTGAGGGGCAGTCGGATCTTACTTTGGTTCAGTTTTTGCACGTATAGATCTGATTTGATAAACGTGAGGCATCTGTGATTCTGACCGGTCTCTGTCGACGTTCGTTGGACAAAGTGAGACTGGGTACTGATTTTTTACCTGTCTGTATGTGCGCAGCCAAAGGAGATTCTGGACGCCGCAATCAGTGAAGCTTTGGCCAACCCGTGGACACCGTTGCCACTTGGTTTGAAGCCTCCCTCTATGGAGGGTGTGATGGCTGAGCTCCAGCGGCAGGGAATCAACACAGTTCCACCTCCTCCCCTCACTTCGTAGCGTATATAACGTAGTCATTGTTGTGACTTCTTCACTGCCCGCCCATTCGATCTGCAGTATCTAGCTGCAGGTCTTCTCGTTTATCGCGCAGGCTGTCCATGAAACATGCTAAATCCCGATTATTTGGCGACAACTCTTCCGTTCCTTGCTTTCTACTTCACCATGGATGGGACCGAACCGCTGTTTTGGGGCCTAAGAGCTATGAAGCTTTCTTCCTTTCCAGTGCGTTTAGATCGAGATAGTTCCCACCAGTTGTAATGTAAACAACCTCCTCTTCCTTGAAAGAGCCACAGCCACTGCATAATATTTGCAGGCATTGCTGAGGCACTGGCATGCCTAGTTTGTAGGGATTACAAATTGTGCCAACGATTTTGTTGTAGAACAAGAACCACTCAGTCGGGGAAGAGAAAAAGGACGTTCAGATACCTTTCCCATTTTTGGAATATGGTTCATTATCAATCAACGTTTGTTGGAAACGATAGGCAAGACTATAATGCAAGTCTGCACGATCTTGTTATTACTGAGCTCGACGGCTAAGGGTTCCCCTTCCAATGTAAAGTTAAACGTGGTTTGAACTCGGCCTGGTCGACCTGACCTGTCTGTCAAGTTAGTAACTTTGCCATGTCTAAATCGGCAAAGTACAGAGCAAATGGAAATAAAGTAAGGATCTCCATTCAAGATGACCGAAGTGTCTGTCTCTTTCTCCGTCTTTTGTTCGCCTCTGAATGCTTTGCTAGCAGGACGGTTGGATTCATCTGAGACCTAAGATGGTGGGGAGTACCAAAACTCGCTCGGATAGGCTTGGGCACAGTTGTGGTAGATAAGGGCACGATGTGCGGTCACACTGGCAGAATGGATGGTGTGGAACGCTTGGACCACTTTCTGTTGATAATACCGTGCCGCAGGATATGCTATGGACGTTTTGTCCTGACCAGTAGTCTAGGAAAGATCTTTGTGATAACTGGTAGGTAGAGTGTCTTCTTCTTTACTGCCTCGAGCATTGCCCGACAAAGGCCGAACGAAAATATTCAGGCTGTCCTGGCGTGCGTCGGAATGGTTGCCGTCCAAAGGACTTTCTGTACGAGGACAAATTGATCACTGACAAGAGATATCTGCCACGCCTGACTGGACATGCGTTCGTCCGAGTTACTTCCACAACAGCTCCTGGTTCCCTGGAATGTTACAGAGGGTTAAGGAGCATTTATAACCTTTCAAGTTGCAACAAGGTGTATGACAGAGATGAAGAATACAGACGTTAGCTACGACTTTTTACCGTCGCACTTTGAATTTATACATGCAGCCCCAAGCAAGACCCGATTCTGTCTCTTAGCAGATCCAGGTCTTAACGGCGGAGTTTTAGTACCGTTGGTATATTCAACACAGCAAATCAAAGTATCGCACTAAAAAAAAAAAATGTTGGAATGCGAACATCGACAGCAGGATTTACGAATATGCCGCCCAGAAGAGCAGAGCACCCGCTACGGATAGTGAAGTGGGTGCAAAATTGAGGTTTTTTATACGAACTGCGAATGCAATGAACCGCAGCTATTATAGACCAGTCCGGACGTAAATTCATCATGAAACTCCGCTTCAACTTAATGTGACCTTGCCTGCTTGAAACAGTCAATGAGGACCTTGTTAGATCTCCGATTTCCCGTGGCTGAAACTTTAGTAGAACCTTTAGGGGCCTTCAGTAGAGGGTAGACGGCGGTCTTCGTTGTCACTCGCATGATGTGTGGTTGTTAAGAGCTGACCTAGACTCTTCTGAAATAAGCTCTGTTTCTTGCACATATAGCTTTCTTCAGGTCCATTTACCATTTACCATTGAACTTTCTCCACTCAACTTACCACTTTTCAACTGATTGTATGAAACTAATAGTTTAGAGGAAATTGGATAGACAAAGTACGGGAAAATGAACTATGATAATCCATTCATATAGCAGTACCTCTTAGCACTTTCGATGCGTCTCATGGTCTAATCAACTCACGTTACAAACATGAAATCAAATATCGGTATAGTTTGATCATGTTCAAGCACATTGTGTTGCTATCCAAATATTTGTTAAGCTTGATTGAAACTCCCATTACAGAAATGTAAAAAATGTTGATTTAAGAGCTTTTATCTTGAAAATAGGAGATGTGGGATGGCTGCTTAGTGTCTTATTTGTAATCTAGTCTCACTGGTCTCAAGTTATGAAGATTCATAACTTGCTTAATTTATTCAAAATTTTCAATGTCATCTCATTTCAACGAATGTGCCAAATTTATACCAAATCAAGTGAAGCTTGCAAATCTTTCAAAACTGTAGCCAAAGAAGTTCAATACTACAATAGACTTGTTAATTTACCCTTCAATCCACCAGTATAATTATTCTTTTTTCTAACGGAGCAAACTATGTGCACGTAAGCGTATAATTTCTAATTCAAAAGTAGTATAATCATATTATAGATTTTTATGTATATAAATAAAAGTCAAGATCTTGTGAGATACTATGGCCTACTTGAACTGATATTTTGTTTATGTATTTTATAATTTTTTCATTATATTATAATAATTTCTTAAAAACATTATTTAAAATGCGTTATGATAGATTCATAATTTTTATGAAAGAATCACAAAATACAATGGCAAAATTTTATATAACGTTTTTTTCAACATATGTAGATTAAATGTTTCCATTTCTTAGGATCGTTTCTAGTTTTATTGGAATGATATTTTCTATTAAAAAAATGAGTGCAATGTATAATCAAATTATCATAGTTTACAATATATAATAACTTGATAAATTCAAAAGATAAAATATGTTCGCTTTATTCTAAGAATATTAATAACTCTATTTAGCTTATAAATACTTCATTATAGTATATGTGGCTGACTATTTTTCTCTTTTAAAATAAATTTCAGATCTTTCTAGATTTTTTCTAAATTTTAAAATGTTGTCGTTTAATAACTTAGCTCATAAACGAATGTGAAAAAAATTCATAATGATGAACATGGAAGAGCATAGTTGTAAATATTTGATAGGTTTTTTGTAATTTTGCAATAAATTTGCAATTCTGTACGAAAAATGCACTACATTCATTTGTCTACTTCAAAATGTAAAGTGATATTAATTTGATCAATTCTTTATGAACTCAAAATTTTTGAACTGAAGATCAAAAAACTGCGAGGTTGAACTGTTTGAAAAATTTTAGGGGTAGACAGATAGAAAAGTTCTGGCTATCAAGTTGGATGTATGTACACAAATATGACTACAAAGACATTTTATTACCAAGCAGAAAGTGCTTGAACCTGCAACCAGAGCTGTGTGAGTATGATGGATTTCTCCAGACTTGCGATCTTCATTAGAAACGGATTGATTATCATTGCCAAACCAAAGTGAACGTCACAGGAGTTGAGACGATAAGATGGTCACTCGAGTTTATACCATAAAATGCAATTGAGGTTGTTTATTGGCCTGATGATGTACTTACATCTCTCTCGAGGTATGTGCCGAAATATGGAGTGAATCCAAGAACCTTAGTGGTTGCTGATGACATCTAACCTTGAAATGCAATTCTTTGGACAGAGGCGTTTGGCCTACACCACAAAGCTGAGCATGACGGGGCACTCGACTGACAGGGCAAATTTTCAGTGATGGAATTTGATGCCGATTGGAGTGACGCGTCGAATCTTTCGATAATTGAACTTGATCCCGACGAGTGGTGCTATCTGGAGAGTGGAGTTGAATGGATTCTAGATGGAGCTAGTACAAGATTACTTCCAGAGAAAGATGTCCTTTATCCTTAACCATTTGGTCTTAATCAATTGTTTCTCCCAAAACGGTGAGGTGCGTTATTTACATATTGTCTCTCTTGGTATTTATATATTTTCGTATGGGATGGTTAAGTCCCGAAGAGTGCTGAGAGTATCAGGTGACGTTAAAGTCACTTCCTCAAGATACGCTCTCTTCCATGAGAAGTTCATCTCAAGTTCAACGACACCAGAATCACAACACCATAACCTGAAATACACTGATCTGTTATACGAATAGCTGGCACCGTCTTAGGTACCCATACAGGTCCACATTCCCACCAAATATTTGCACATTCCAAACACGTTCTCATTCCAAAAACCTAAACGATCTTTATCTCCCCTAAACTAACTAGCTCCTCTGAGAACTTGGTGCCCCATCCTCGAAACACAATCAGCAAGGGTGGACTTTGTGCAGGGCAGACCTGAAAACTTTTTGACCAAATATATAGGCTATCAAGGGTGTACCCTATAAATGTGAGATTTTCCCGAAATGTATGGCACGTTGGAATACCGAAACCGATTGAATCAGAGGGATCCGAGCCATATAGCAATTAATATAGCATAAATAACAATTAGTACGGAAGAAATTGTTCACACCGAATTCCTTTTCAACCATGTGTAGATTCTTGATACAAAATTTTTACCTATTTATGATTTGACATAAATAAGAGTTGACATTTAAAATACAGATAGAAATGCATTTTGTTTCGCTCTTACTCTTATATATTCAGCTTCTGCAAGACTGTGTGCTGGTTCCCAAATCGAAGGCCTGTCAACAATATAGTCTTTGCAAGCAAGACGTGAACATCAAGAACCAACCCTTGAATGAGAATGTTCATAGGCAAGGCATCACCTTATGGGAAGGCAGATCCGAGCTCAGGTCGCCTTCGTGATGTACAAACGACCACAAAAGACACAGAGTATTGTTTTGTAATAGCCATAACCATCATACAAGCCAGCAAAGTTGAACGTCTGAAATTCGAAAGGTGATAAAGACGATCTCGTTTCAAAGTTGTAAGAAAAAGGATACAACTTTATCGCTCGTCCTCATGAGAAACTACACAAATGTGCAAAAATTCAGAAGAAACATCCTCGAGGATATTCACGACTTATTACCCTGCATGTTGAGCTATGACAAATATTTAGGTAGAACTCTCACTAGACAAGTAGAACTCAGAGGCAAATTACCATGATGGAGATTCATCCAACTGATATTATCTTGATTTTCATGATCTCTAGAGCAGACCTACAGCCAAGAAATCCATCAAAGGTAAAAGGGCAACGAGCCACTGGGGACGATTCCAATACACATTTCTTCTCACCGTCCTAAAGGTCGAAAGAAAGCTCACAACGTGCAGTTCATTAGAGGTGGGGACGGGGAGGTTTCTGATCTCATCCACAATATCATCTCATCAAGCTCTGACGAGTTTTGATCATTTGCTTCAACGTAGGAAGCCAGAAACCGCACTCGTCATAATCACTTGTAGTCAACCCAACCTGGACAAAGAGAAATGTGTCACCATGGGTGGACCACCCCAACTCAAACTACAGCGATATGAAAGTAAATAGACAAAACAATAGACATTCGTACCTGTATTTGCAATGCAGACGAGTAGTCTCTAGCATCTAAAGCCTGACACAGTTGTATCAATTTCAAGGAGGCGTTTGCTGATATGTCTGCGGTGTTCAGCTTCGCAAAAAGGGCACCAAGTCTTCTTGAGTTATTCTCCATCTCCCTCCTTTTGGCGGGATTTGCACGGGCGCCTCCACTCGCTTCCGAAGTTTCATGAAAAAGTCTCGTTAACGTGGCAACCACCGGTTTCAGTTCAGCTGCAAAAATATGAAACTCTTCTTAATGAAAAACCGCCTAAAACAACAGCCACTATTCAATATACGCTAAAGCCTTCTAAACCCAAAGATGACGCAGATAGGCGGAACGCAACGAAGGTAAGAAGACTAATAGCTCACCAACACTTTGAGAAGGTCTATAAGTATGATCATATGCTCACATGAAAAAAACAGCAGGCTTAAGTAGATCTGAAAAAATAATGGCAGTTATACGTGCGCGAATATCGTTTAAGTTTAAAAGACATTGTATTCAAGAGGAGAGTAAGGCATAATCACCAGATACACTCGACGTATCCACGGTTTGAACAGTTGGAGGTGGAGTTAGGGCGACCGCTGGTGACGGGGAACTAGTCGTTTGCGGACTTTGAACCTGACTACCGGGAACAATACCTGAAGAGGAAAGTGGCTGCGTTCTTGGGCTGGCGGGCATAAATCCTTGAACAGCGGGAGGAGCTGTGACAGGTTGAGCTGGACCAGGAAGCATCATGTTCGGGAGCTGTGCTGGCGCAAATGATGGGGTTTGTGCAACTGCAGAAAATGGAGGTTGTGACAATGGAGTGAATGTCATTGGCTGTGGTACTTGCGTATAATTTCCCGAAGGGGGAGCTGGTGTGAACGACGGTTGAGAAAATTGACTTGGTGTAAAGGACTGTGCATTGCTGCTTCCCTGCGTCATAGAATCACTCAGGTTAGCCTTCTGCAGACAAACGGCAAGAAATAGACACATTCAATACATTGTTTAACAACACGTATCAACTCAGACTATCAACCCTCATGAGGGAACAGATAGCGAAGAAACCAGCTTCAACAAAGTCTCCCCGAGCGCAATCAAAAAGGAGTTCCAAACAGTATCCAAGAAAATCCAGTGTGTCACACCGTGTAATACTGATTTTGACCAGTGGGCTGGTACTGTTCCACATTCGGAATTGCCGGTGGAGCCATTGGAACAAACCCCTTCACTTGAGAAACTGAAGGTGGATTGACTGGTGTAGGAACAAAAGGTGCCTGCAATGATAGCAATCTACCCTTTCAATATCAAGCTACTTCCTCCAATTTCCCGAGAAGCATAGAAAAGATATCATCATCGAAGTGAAGTTCAAACAGGAGAGACAAGGATGGAGTCACTCAGATGGATTGTGTAGGAAGCCAACAGGCAAAATTAGCTTACACTATGTTCTCACTCAAAGATGTGGGCACAAAATGCGTAAAATAAGATTCAGCTTCAGCCTCAAAAGTTACTTACCTGCGTAGGCTGCAATGTTGGGGACGGATAATATCCTGCGTGGTTTGCCGTCATTCCCCCATAAGCTGGCTGTTGTTGAGGTTGGAAGCTAGGAGGAGTTGCGAAGGCCTGAGAGTAATTGTGCGAGCCAAATATTATTTGCATCGGCACGATTTATTAAGGATGCGTAGAGGACTACTACTTGAATATCGAAATCGGACGAAACAAGGGATCAAAAATTGGAAAAAACACGTCGCCATACAACAACTCAAAGCCGGGAAAAGCAGGGCAGAACCTGGTAATCACGTGAAACATTGCTTGATGCCGAAGGATAGTTGTTTTGTAGAGGCTCCGTTGCTGCAGGGGCTTCAAATTGTAGTGGCTGTCTTTCCCAAGGTATGGTTGGAGCTTCGGCTTTGGCATCAGAAACTGCAGTTTGAATTGTCTTCTCAGCAAAAGACATGTGCTATGTGACTACTACTACTACAATGTATGTCCAAAAACCCAAAGACTCCGGAACATAATAAAAGCCCTAGAACGACGTTGCCAGTACATATGTATGTATGCGAAAAGAGCATTCTTAGGAACATCTGCTACTTTACATAAACGAGCAAGCCATTGCTATAAACACCAGCAAAGATAAAACGGCATCGCTAACATCTAATGACGAGTACGTCGTCTATATAAATCGATCGATGCTGACATACGTTAAGGCTCCGGTAAGAACTCATACCTTTGCCACTACCATAAATTCGGTCTTGTAGAATAGACAACTCAAGCGATGACTGGTCAGCAGGAACGAGAGAGAGATACTCCATGGCTGTAACTAGCAATCCTTGACTTACGAGCAACTCGGCATAGATTTTGACAAGCCTAGCTAAAGAAGCACTGATAAATTTCTGACCAGTTGCCAGGCTAAGGATCACAACCTTTTCCATCAAAGTCTGCACAAACATGACGTACATGATATGAAAACGGTTAAGGGCAAAGTACAAACATGGCAGTCCACGATGAGCGCGTAATATCTTGAGGTCAGTAATCTTAATTAGGAACCTGCAGAGCACCATATAGCTATTGTACGCTGTATGTAAAATGAAGAACAGAACCGCGGATTCACCTTCCACGGTCGGGAAGCAAGAAAACTACGCTAAGGTGTTAGTAACATACACGAGCGTAAACCAACCTGATATAAAAGACTTAAATCCGACATTCCACGTTATTAGGAATTTTATTTAACGTAAGATATCACATAGGAGATACACATGGATTTGCAATAAGGCAAACAAGAATCCGCGTGGTAACTACAGCGTTTTGGACTAATCTGATAGAGAGAAGAAGTCCAGGAACTTTCAACAAAAGTGATGTGATCTGCGTCCAAGCACCACCTCTACCTAATGATTTCTTTGGAACCATGAGAAAATTTAATCTTTAACTTTCTAACTTTACCGTGGATATTAACGTCTAGGTTTCTGCTCACTTTTCCATTCGACACACCTTAGTGTTAGCTATCACGAAGAAATAATCAGAAACAATACACTACCCAGCACATAGAGTTTAAGGAAATCCATATGAAGAATGTATGCACATGCTTTAGACAAGTATTGATAGAAACTCGGAAAGGCGCAAGGTTAAAATTGCAAAAAGGATTACGCTTACTCAACGCGCACATGCGCGTTGTCAAGAAAGCTAACACGCAAAGAAAGAAATCATGAAAGATGGAGGAGAGAATGGAACGAATTGGTGTAAGCGCAAGAATGGAGGGAAAAGGCAAAAGGTCGAACAGTGCACATGCAGGTCGGTGAGAGTTGTGTCTTTCCTGCGAGTAGGTACTTTGGAAGTGCAAGACGCTTCAGCGAGGATTACAAGGTTGGTGATGGAACTTCACTTACTTGCAAAGAATCGACAAAAACCTTTCCTCCATTGACAGTCTCTAAACTGCGGGACCAGATCTCAGCCACCTTCTCAATATTTCCAGAACAGATATAACACAGGGTAGCAGCTTGGATTTCTCCTGCAGCGTCAAGTCTCGCTGCCAGAGCATCTGATAGTTGCGTCCAGTCTTCAAAAGGCGCGTACTGCGTATAAGACATCCCTCAAAATAAGCAACTGAGAGCAAGAGCAAAGCTACGCTTCCACATCGCACGATGATAACAAATAAGTTCCTCGAGCCGAACTTAGATATATCGGCCAAAAATCTCATGATCCTCAAGCTAGTGATAAATTCCGTTATTCAGAAAGATTCCCAATATAAAGTGTAAATGTGAAATGTAGCTCCCATCTTCTACTTGTCAAAACATAAAGCCTCGCTTGCAATGATGTGCGAGGACAATGCATTTGCAACGAGAAGAAAGTTACATATATGAAACACATGTTGGAACTTTAAACATACAGCACATGGTAAATGTATCAGCAGATCAGTTGATCAAGTCCCTTGTTTTGATGCATCTGATCACTACAAGACAAAGTGGCCTCTTCGGTATTTGCCTGTAATGTCCTGACGCCTATAGACCCAACACGCTGGCTGGGCGATACTTCAATGCACGACAATAATTCTTTTGGGGAGTCTTTCCATCGTTTCTACACGTGCATGATGATGCGAGGACAACAATACTGTCCTTGAAATGTAAGATGGAAGAGAGGCCCTTTGAAACTTAGGCGGCAGATGCAATTACTGGCCTTCAATAGTTCATAACCTCGCTCTGCTGGTGAACTCCAAGCTGTTCATAGGATCCACTAGCTTTGAATCAAAACCCCAAAGCAGCCGCACTTTTCATTGTATTACTGGGGCTTAGATTATAAGGTGGATAAGTTACAAAAATATTTTCTTGGATTCGACTTCTAAGCACCAACGTAATCTCGTTGATGAGGGTAGATTCCACTACAAGAGACGCCCTCTTCATTCTTATGTGATCCTCTCAACTTTCTTCTACCTCTTCTTCCCGATTCCTCTCTTCTCCTACTAATTAGTCTCTTCATGCAAGAATCGCTCGCCCAAAGTCCGCGGTCTATGATTTCAGTCTAGCCACAGAATCCTAATCATGAAGACTTTAAGTGTGAATTTCGAAGCATATCAATGCAAATACGATGAAAAAAATGAACAAGCACAAACTAGAACCTCAAGATCTAGTTCAAATGGCAGAAAGGCTCAGAAACACTCACAGTACAAAGTAAGGCAAGTGTCTCTTTCCAGGCCATCAAAGGCCTAGTCTCCACCAGACCCTTCAAGTCGTGATTGACTATCGCAGACATTATCTGTGTCAAGTATCAGGGAAGAGACATGTTAATGAAACCCATTTCGAATGTGGAGAAAATAAGAACATAACTAAGACCCCACGGGTTCGTAAACGTAATGAACTAAGACGGCCTGGGAGATGAACAATCAATCTACACCAAATCAGGAATCAAACCTTGAGATACGATCGACCAGTCTTCCTGATATAGGCGTTTTGAGTCTTCTCCCAAAGGGTGGCTTCTCCAAGACGTGCGATAATGAGGGCATCAGCCATCCTGTTTGCAGTCATGCAATGTTTGACAGCTAGTGCAAAATCACCAACAACAAGTGCTCTCTGAATTGCTTCCTCCGACTCGATTAGATGATCTACATCCCCTCCTTCAGTTGCCGGGCTCTGGCTGCTGTCAACTTCAATTCTATCACTGTCCAGAGTTAAGTCGCTTAATCCACCAGTAGGCACACCGTCAGACTTTTTAGGTGTATGAATGTTATCAAAAAAGTCGTCCTCCCCGGCTTCACTTGCTTGTTGAACGTCCTCATCCACAGGGCTTGGAGATGGTTCACAATCTCCCTCCGGGCTCTCAGAATCAACAGGAATTGTATCCTCACTTCCATCGGGTTTCTGCTCTGGTCGTCTGTCGTCATCGTTTTCGGTAGGTTGGACATCAAAATTGAGATGGGCGAGTAACTTCTTTCGAGCATCGTCTTCAAGCATAACTTTCAAAAATTTCCAGGTTTGTTGATCGTCATCAGACCTATAATGCAGCCCAAAATGTTGGCACAACATCAGCTCCCCGTGAGTCTGGACTGTAATGGTCGTACTATAATGTTAATAAAAATCACAGGAAGCAATGCGCCGACAAAGCTGTCCCTGCCTGAACCGTTGGACGTTTTCCAGATACTCTAAAGAACACAAAAAGCTAGATTCGGTTTGAAAGAAAAATCTGTCTGTCCTAGAAGTCGAATTCAAAGAAGCTGCAGTTTCTGCGTACAAAAATTATGTATTTCTGTATCAAAGAATTTCTGATCACGGGAGGAAGAACTGGGGTCTGGCAGAGATAAAGTCATTGTACTTCGGCGCAAAGGTCGAAAACAACCATGATAAATGAAAACTTTGATCAAGTTGAAACAAAAATCAAAATTGAGCTTTGCATAAGAAACTAACAAAATAAACGGTTGACCAATAAATCTAATCCTGAACTCAAATAGCAATTCACTAAATCAGGTTGAATCGCGTTGGATAAAAGCATAATAGTGCAGCAATCTTCTGCGTATGGTTTCACACCACAGTAAGTGAGTCGTATAGTAACTGTGAAAATCATCTGACAACTTGGTCTCAATGCAATCACATCAACTTCGAGCAAGATTTGTGCCAAAGCGAAGTAATAATCGGATTCGAAGGCTAGGGACAAATACTTCAACATTCTCCTGAAGGTGACCTCAAGAGACCAGGTGCTTTCCAAACCGCTCAGTATGTCAGAGAAGAACAAATATGACACGGATAGGTTGTTCATTTCGAGTTTCATTGCTAGCTCCGCTTTATGGGCTGGTGCTTCCACGTGATATGCGACTCTTTCTCGTACAACCAGTGACTGTACCTGGCCGTTTCTGCTTTCAAGTCACAGAATTGCCTCATCGCTGGTTTGTCTCCATCTGCTATTGCAGTCTCAAACTGCGTAGATTGCTTCACCAGATCCTCTTCTGTGACGAGACTGTGCAACCGGATCTGACAACACCACGACCCACATACCATATTCAGTATTATTGACTCATTCAGGACACAATGCACCGTCTTGAGGCGAGCGGCCACAAAGATAAACAATATGAGGCAGACCATTGAGACTCTGCCAACAACCACTTGCGAATCAAATGTGGCACGCAATCTCGTACTATAACGATACAAGATACCAGATACAAAATTCTGTTTCCTTACAGTCTCACTCAACTACATTTTAGATGAGAGCCCTTCCGTTGCAAGATAGACAACAATCTCAGAAATTCACCTAAAAGGTTATGCCAAACTAAATCAACAAAATATCTCTTCATGGGAGCCTACACAGATGGCATTATACTCAAGAAAAAATTTTATTCAACCCCTCATACACCTTGCCATCATCCTATACCTCTGAGGAGGTTCCAAATCCTCCAGGAACAGTCTTCTTGGAAGGACCAAATGTAATAAGCTTGCCACCAAAACCGAAACTGACTCCAACTGGTCTCTTCAACCACTTGGGCGCCTTCTTGGCATCTGCAAACGAAACTTAACGTGTGAATTATGAATGTCGACATAAATGGTCCAATAAGAAGGGCTTGATTACGTGTCTTTAATAACACTTAAACCGATCTTGATGAAAGTTAAGAAGGCTAATATGTTTTTTCAAAACGTCATGTCAGTACTAATATCAGATAGTAAAGTGAGGGCTTCTAAGCATTGAAACATCTCTCCGCATGGTGTTAAGAAGCCCCAAATAACAATAGCATAGTATCCCGAAACCGTTCCACCAATCCAGAATGAAAAAGATGGGAGCTTCAGAGGGCAAATATAGGAAAACAAAACAATTGCCGCTTTAAAACCTGAGAACAAGCAGACAACGCTTCAACTGAAATACAAGATTCAGCAGCAGGGCACACTGATCGCTAGAGGATACTCACAAGAAGAATTGGTACCCTTGATGGTATGACCAAAACTAGTCACATTTGATGGTGTCTGACTGCAGGCCTGAACTGGGGCCAGGGCATGCAACAAAGCAGAACTGAAAACGTTAAAACCACGAAACAATTGTGACAAAGGAGAGGAATCCGATAAAGGTTAAAAATGTCCAATTGAGCTCTTACGGCAAACCCCTAAAAACTACAAAAAAGTTGGATGCTGAGAATGACGATATGCGCATGAATTTAACTTCATACTTGACAATCATACCTCAATGTTGTAGATCCCAATGTTTCCGTCGAAAGAGGAAGTAGATAAAACACCGGGGGTGCGAGGTGACCATTGAACATCAAAGTTCCAATTGGTTCTGGCTGGAAGCTCGCATAGAATCTGAAAAAGAGGATAGTCTTACGCTGTTCAAACCCCTACAGTCTGTCGTTTTATTTCAAGATAATCAAACTCAAACTTTAAACACTTCAAGATCTCATCGAGTGACCATCAGTAGATCGTTGCAAAGTATGCTCGGGACTGCTATCCTGTCAATAGTATGAAGACCAAACACCCGGCCCCCGGACTGAGTAGTGCTATTAGTAACAGAGAGAATAAGAAGAAGCAAGATAGGATGACAAGAGAGGCGCAAAGATCTTTTACTCATCTACTGCGGGGTAGACTAGAGAAAGAAAGAAAGAAGAAGAAAAAGAGAAAATTTATCGTATGAGTGTAGAAACGTAAATCAATCAATTTCGGTAGTGAAATGAGCAGTCCATGAAAATACCTCCCCGGTGAACGTATCCCAGCAAAGCGTTAAGTTATCCTTGGCACATGTCAACAACAGAGAACTATCAATCGGGCACCAGGCCATAGCCAGTACACCTGCATGACCATCGACAACAATTTCAGCACACAACGGTTCAGCGAAATCAAATAAAGTACCCACATAACGTGAACTAATCAACAGTCGTTTTCACTCACTTGAGCAAAGAAGAACACTTTGAAATGTCATCGAAGTCAGGAACAGTCACGTGAGATGTCAATTGTGTTCATCAAGAGCAAGATAAAATACTATATACTGAAACGGGATAAGACCTCATGTATGTAATGTCTTAAAGAGGAAACTGAAGCTAAAATATGGTTACCAAGTCCATGTGCCTCTCTTGGACCCAAACCAAAGCAGTAGACTCAACTGACTATCAGTGAGTGCATCAAGTAAGTCTCAAGAAACTTCACCTTTCGAATGTCCAACAAGTTCCTTCAATGGAGAAACTGAATTACGTAGATCCCAAACCTGGGAAAGAAATACAAGCAGTACGGCAAAACACAAGTTTCGAATGAGAACCAAGCGAGCTTTCAGACAAACATCGGTTACCCTAGACAAAAGTAACAAACGGAGAAAGCGAAAACCCAACGAGGTGCTGATTCATCCCGACTAATAACAAAAATTTGCATCAACAATCCACTTAGAATTGGCGAGTACCTGCAGGGAAGGTGACCGATCGTCGTCGGAGGCCACAATCAGCTGAGTCGCATTCTCGGGATTCCATTGTAGAGTTGAACAACGACGTCGAATGTCGGGGTCTGTAAAACTAGCGTAGCGAAATAGGCGGAATGGCACAACAAAAGTGTCATACACTCTCCCATCAAGCACCTTGAACGTGGCTATTGTTACAGTTACAGCAAAATATTTTATCCTGACTGATCAGCGTATCATCGAAGCGACTCGTCAACTGATGAAAAAGCATAACTCTTTGCTAAGAGAGCATTGCTGAGAAAGAAGAACAAGGCGGAGAAACTAAATTACATGGTTGAAATGGTAAGCTAAAGTACGACTCTACAACTATGAAAAGGCTCTCACCTGAGAACTGGCTTTGCTTTCCTCAGATCCCAAACAACTACAAATCACAGAACTCAAATTAGAGACATATGAGACTAAGTCACGATTCGGCCGTTTGGTCTGACTGAGCACAAAAGTGGACGAATTTTAGTCTGCTCAGCAACAGGTAATGGTATAATACTTGTGAAGGATATATAAGTATAATAAGGTGCTCAATTCAGTGAATTCAATTACCAGAAGTCCCGCTTGAAGAGGTCGATGCAAGGATAGGCTGGACCTTCCGGTTCCAAGACAGGTATGAAATCTCGCCTCGAGGTGATGCATTCTGAAAGATTCGGAAAGTCATATACAAAACATGATATTCCGCGCAGCCATCATAAACGAATAAATCACAAATACCCATCTCTTGACAAAAAGCATTGATAATCTTACGTTTAAATTCGGAGTGTGAGTTGGATTAGTGGGGACTTTGAGGTCCCAGATGTATATATCTCCATCATCGCCTCCAGAAGCAAGAAGGTTTGGTGCTAAGACACTTAACTCCAAGCCCCGTACCTGAATCCATAAGAAGCACTTAGAGAACTGAAAGATAGTGGCGCAGAATTCAGGAGATCGAGCAGCGAGATAAAAACCTACGGAAAAGCGCCACATGTTCCGTCCTTTCATTTGTGGATCACGGCCGTGTCAATCAAGATGGATGCGTATGGCGTCTCCACTCCTTTGCCGATCTAACTCGAGAACGTTACTAACGAAGACTCTAATCCCAGCTTGAGACTTCTTCAACTTTAGCTCATTGAGCTCTCCTCGATGTAGCTGATATTGGAGGTTTTGGCCACTTCAATTTGGATTATTTTTTAAAAAGGCGTGAATTCCATTTTGCCCCATAATTTTGTCAACAATTGAACGGTTGAATGCGACGGCATTCAATGGCACAAGCTGAGTTTTAATAGAATGAGCTGGATGAGGAAGCAGAAAGTCCCAAATCTTGCATAACTGGAATGAATGTGAACACAAGATACAAAAGCGAAACACTCACAGTTCCTTCGTGCTTCCGCCAACTTGCAATGACAGATTCCTCCGGGCTTCCACCATCTTCACTGCCATCGAAAGAGGCAGATATCAAGCAAGTAAGGTCACGGGCCGATCTCCGAGTTTGACGATCAGCTGCGACTCTCAGTGGAGATACAAACATAAATCAAACTTCAACAAGACTGTAGTCTTGATAACCTAAGACAAGTACCTGGTGAGTTTTGCGGGATTCCAAAGCGTGATGGTCCCATCTACTAAACTTCCAGCAATAATTCCCAGGGCGTACTCCTCGCTAGCTACAGCGTTATTTCCCCAAGATATACGATTGAACCTCTCCGCTGTCGGGCACGAAGCTATGACCGGTAGCTCCTCTTCGGTATTTGCAAAATCTAGCTGCAAGATCTCCAGAGACGCTGACGAGCTGAAAGAAGGATCGATAGCTCCGGCCATCGTGCCGACTGCCATAATCGATGCCGTCGGCGCGAATGCCACGGTTGCCGACCTCGCTATCGACTTTAGCGTCGACATTTTTTACCCTCAACAAATTTTGCCCCTACTTCCTAATTCGCCCTGTCTTCTAGATCTAACGATCTATTGATCGAGCAGTTGGTCGTTCTTCACACTCCAATTCCTCTGTCACTATCAGCGGGCTCGTTCATGTGCCCGCCACGCCCTCGACACCTCCTGGAAAACTGAGAAATGAGCAAATGTGCTACTTCAATGTTCCCTAGTGGCAGGCCGTGCTAAGGAAAATGGTCTTCTCGCTTTACTAGGATGTACTCACCAACGCAGTTCTGTCAGGTCCTACCCTTAATAGAAGAAGAGCCGACATCCAGCCTACATAATGGGTGACTTTTCTTCACTACAATCAGTCTTGGTTACTCTCAGACGCATTCCTTCATGTTCTCCCGGACATTCCACTCTAAAGCTCTACAGACTGATTCAAGACTTGCGTTCGTAGTTGAACTGCGTGCCGTACTTTTTCGTTTCCATACTTAATTCAGACGAGTAATTGGAACTTCTTGTAATGCTTACTTCTTTCATGAATCCAAGTCACGAGAGGAAACAAGAACGTTTAGTTTAAACATGGAATTACTTGTGTATCAACTGCACATCTTGACTTTTATTTAAAGATCTATAAAGAATATTCAGCTCCCGGTCAACTCCCACATCCTATGAAAAAACTTGATTTTTAATACCTGAATTATCATAAGGCTGAAATACATGAGCTATTGCCTATACCATGAAAATATGTGATTCTATAATCTTCTCGAATGTTCTCCATCTATACCTCGTACATACAATTGTGCAAGTAGTTTGTATCAAACTACTTTCAGCTAATCATTTTGTCTCTTCAATCCTCGTCTAGTGTATGTTGCAAGGTTACACGCTGATTAAATAAATTACAGTATTTACAGTTAGAATGTCGTATATACTAGTTGTATCATACCTAGTTGGTGGAGATATCTGAACAACGAATAACACATGTTATGATACGTTTATTTCGCGTAAATCTAATTGATCGAAGTATGTACAAAAGTGGTTAAATAAAGTCTATTTAACAAAGTAGACTTTACAACAATTTTTTAATTTACAATTAAAATTAATTGAAGTTCTAGATTCCTTTTTATTTACAATATATCTGAATGTGTAAAATCCTCATGAACATTTCACGGTGTGTGACTAAAATTAAAAATTGAACTCAATAAATTATTTATATTTTATTTTGACATCAAGATTATACATGCTTCATTTAATTTTTTTATCAAATGAAACGCAAATAATATAATATGTAAACTTCATAAATCAAAAAATTTGTTAAGGATGAAAAAATGTTAAAGCTCAGTTCAATTGTAAAAGTTCATGATTTGATTTATGTGCATCAAACTAACACTTGTTTGAAGCACAAGGAATTAAGTGAGGCAATTGAGTGGAAAGTTACAAATATATTTCTCTTAAGTAGATTTTATATCACACATCGTAAATATTTATATCTGAAATGTATTTTATAAAACACAATTATCACATTTGCAATTTTTTGTATTCTAAGCTGTTGGATTTGTATGGACATAAAATGACTTCGTATAAAATAGTTTGCATTTATTTGTTGACTACCTTTTTAGCCTATGCTTCACACGTTTTATATCTACTCAATACAAAAAAACACTTATTTATCAATTATATAACATTTTTTGATTAAAATTAGCTATTATTTTTTCACATTACAAATTTGTGATCTTATCGTAGGTATATATATATATATATATATATATATATACACACACACACAAATATATATTGAATATCAATGGATGAGTTTTTATATCACATTTATGACATATGAATTTATTTGTTAAATTGTTCAAATTTTTATGATGATTAAAGTTAAAAATGATTCAATTTTAAATTTATTCTCATTTAATTTATATTGACTAAATATTTATTTATGTCAATATAAATATAAATTTATTTGTTTACTTTTTATATTTTTCATTATATATTTAAAAAAATGAGAATGAAAATACAAGTAATTGATTTTAATCATTTTAAGCTTTGATGCAAATATGAAGATGCAAGATAATGACTATTTTTTCCAATGATTAGAATCCAATGGAGTCAGAAAAATCAAACCTTAACGCGGATTACTTATCACGCCAAAGGGGGTAAGGAGTAAGAGAAAATTTCGGTCGAGTTTCCGGATAAATTTCCGAAAGGAACCAGTATCCAAGTTATACTGGACCCGCGCGATTTTCCGGAGTCAGGCAACCTAGAGACCGTGTATCGGGTTGAGGAGGAAGAAAAGGAAGACCAAGAACTTCAACGGATTAAGTATTATCTTCAGACCCAGAAGTACCCGAAAGGATTGAGCCAAGAAGAGAAAAGCGTGTTTCAACACTAGGTGGCTCCATACTTCCAGGTCGGTGAACTTTTGTTTAAACTAGGAGCTTACGAGAAGCTTAGACGATGTGTAGAACCGATACATCAACGGAAGGTCATTCGGAATCTTCACAACGGTCCGGGCGGAGGATACTACGCATCCGTCATAATAGTACTGAGGATTCGGGTGCTTGATATTGATGGCCACATTTACACAGGGATGTCCACCATTTCATTAAAGAATGTAACCCAACGAACTGGAGCTCCTGCCGTCTAGCACCACTGACCGTTAACTCTAATTGTTCCACTGGCCCCGTTTGAAAAATGGAGGGGGGTAGATTTTATTGGACCAATCCAGCCGTTGGGTACCCAAAGACACCAGTACATCATTTTGGCTATGAACTAAGCCACCAAATGGTTGGAGGCACGAGCCATCCGGAAAAAATGACGCCAAAACATTTGACAGGTTCATCTTCGAACGGATTATGATGAGGTTTGGCCATTCGCTCGAACTGATGAGTGACCGAGGTATCCACTTTCTCAACAAAGTGGTGGCCGGTCTGACAACTCAGTATGATGTGAAACACCGCAACACTACACCATACAATTCAAAGGCTAATGGATTAACTAAACGTGCTAACGGAATCATATGCAAAATTTTGACCAATGTGGTCATCTCTCACAAAACGCATTAGGACCGGAAGCTCACCTCGGCCGTCTACGCCTATAATATGGCCCACAAGAGCACTACCGGACAGACCCCTTACTACCTTGTTTTTGGGCAGGAAGTTTTGCAATCCATTGAGACGAAAGTAGAAACAGTACGGGTACATGCAGCTAAACAAGGGGACAGGACGGAACGAGTGGATAATCGTCTAGATGACATCGACCGATTGGAAGAAGACCAGATGGACGCCCTACAGAGTACGAAAGTAGTACATGCAAAACGGAAGTAAGTTTACGACAAACGAATAATGTTGGAGAAGGGGCACAAGAAGGTGAGCTAGTATTCTTGTATGACAGTCGATACAAGAATCTTCTGGGTAAGTTACACATCCGGTAGATGGGACCTTTCCGAGTAGACAAAATATATTGGAATGGATCATTACAACTTTCGGATCTAGGGGGACTTTCATTTGACACTAGGGTCAATGGATTCCGCGTGAAACTCTTCAGACTAGAGGATGTTCGCGAGGACGCTCACGAGTAAAAAAGGGGTAATGTGGAAAGTGAATTCCACTAGTAACCGATCGAAGAAGTATTTCTAGCCCAAAAATTGAGAAAAAAAAATGAAGTTTCCGTTAAAAAAAAGTAAGTTTGTAGGTTAGAATGTAGTAAGTACAAAATAAGAAGGTTGAGGTACCGTGTAAGATTGTGTGTGCAGTTGATACCGGAGTGACACGCAATTCGCAAGACAGAGGGAAGAGAGCGTCTAGAAAGACGACAAAGAGCGAGTGTTGAAGATAGAGCAGGAGGAAGCAGGAGGCCGCTGGCACATTTGGAGGAGTGGAACTGGGAGGAAGATAGTGATGCAGGTGAAGAAGCGTGATGTGGTGGTGATATGCGCAGGGTAGCATAAGCATAGACCAGGCCGGTTCTTGATTTTGTACTACATTTTTCCCGTGATCTCGTTCCGAGAGGCCGGAAATCAATGGCGCAGTGCAGGAGAGCTACGGACTAAACCGCAGCTGAGAGCCGCAGGGTTTCTCTTTGAGGTTCCGACAGGAGCGCGTCCTCTTGCCAATGACGGGCCAAGATCCAAGCCTCTAGAGGAAGTCGTGCACAAGACCCTCAAGATTTTGCCTTGTGATGAAATTTCGTTCGACCGAGGCAATTTCAGACGTTTGCATGCGGGATTGCCTTCGAGGCCACGCATTTTCAGTGCCGGAGTTCCGAGACCTAAGCAATATTGTAATCCTTCGTGCACTATTTTGCCATCCGGAAGACTGGACGCGGGTGCATGAATTAATCTCAACTCGACTTTAATCTCGAATCGAATCGACTAGGCTCACCAGGGCGGGCGTGAATTATCCAAGGACGTGGCGGACTCGGTCGAAACGGGTCGGATCAGAGGAGATTTTGTTAGGTTGCAAGAGAAATTTTGAGATTGCAGGGAGTGAGGAGTTTTAGTGTTGGAAGTGAAGGAATTCTCAGCACAAGAAGGAACGAAAATCTACATGTGGTTGCCCCAAGCCCCCGCGGAAGAAGTTGCCATCAGTACAAAGCCTTGATGAAACATGATTTCATCGTGTACCTGGCCTAAGGATGCAAGCCTCATGAGAAGTGGAGAATTGAAAAAGAACATGAGAAATTTGGGTTCAAGTTAGATACTCTGAGGCCTGCAGAGTATAGCAAGATTGTGGCGATCCTCGAGCGCTTAGCAGGCCCCTTAGAATGAGAGACAGTATTGGAAAACGAAAACATCATCGCTTTGAAAGTGAATGGCCAAAGCGTTTCTTTGGAACCTAGCGGTCAGTTTGAACTGAGTGGGGCCCCCCTCGAAACTCTACATCAGACTTGTGCCAAAGTGAACTCTCACCTCTATCATGTGAACTTGGATTTTTCCTCTAAAGAAGACATGGCGAAAAAGTACCAAGTCGGCTTGGCGTTGCAACCGATTGCAACTGCTCTTTTTGCCAACTCACCCTTTTCTGATGGGAAACCTAATGGCTACAACAGCTACCGAAGTAGCATTTGGACCGATGTTGATAAGAACAAAACCGAGGATCTTCCATTTGTCTTCTCTGGTAAATTTGGGTTTGAGGATTACGTTGACTATGCTTTATACGTCCCTATGTATTTTGTTTACCGTAAAGGTCAATACATTAATTGGGCTGGTTTTTCTTTCAAGTACTTCTTAAATAGAAAGCTGTCAAATATGCCCGGTGAAACTCTAACTTCAAATGATTCGGAGAATCATTTGACGACTATGTTTCCAAAGGTGCGGTTAAAGCGTTACGTAGAGATAAGAGATGAAGATGGTGGTCTTGGAAGAGGTTGTGTGCT